GAGATCATCTCTCTCCTGTCTCTTTTTATAAAGCACCACCCTCATGACCTAATTACCTCCCAAAGGCCCCACCTCCAAATACCATCACTTTGGGGCTCAAGGCTTCAGCATATGAATTTGGAAAGACACAAGCATTTAGCCCATAGCATCTGTTAAGCAGAGGGAATAAAACTCTCCCCTTTGAGACTTGTGAATAAGATAAGAATTGCCTGTAGAGGGCTTTGCACTGTGCCTGGCACACAGTATGCCCAATATTTGGGAACAATTCTGGTATTGTTTTGTGGGCCAGGGGTGGCTGAGAGGATGTGTACCTGCTGACTCTTTATAAAAGTTCTGTGGCCACAACAGACATTGCTAATCAATTACAGTGGTCTTTCCTGCTGAAACAGCATGGCTTTAAATCCTTAATTCATCCCCCTAGGAAGATAAAACCCAATTTGGGTTTCCAGGTGAGGGCAACCTGTTCACCTGCTGTGCCAGAAGAGAATATCTAAGAAAATACTCCTTTCTGTGCCCATGATAGACAACACAAAGCACTCCCGGCATTGTTTTTGTCTGAGCCCAGATGAGGCTTTAAAATTCTTCTCTATATGGCCTTTAAGATAGCCATTACTAACTGTTTTGAGTTTTCACCAAAGTGAACCAGAGGCCCCAAGACGGCGAAGAGCATATCTAAGGGCACACATCAAGGAGTTGTCAGAACTGGTACCTGCCTCATTGACTGGCATGGTCAAAGAATAGTAGGGTGGTCTTCAGTTCTAGACAGGTCTGCATTTGTGTTTCAGTGCCACCACTGATATGCTGTGTGACTTCAACAAGTTCCTTGACATCTCTGAGCCTCAGATTCCTCATTTGTCATAGAATAATAAATTGTACCACAGCCCTCATGTGAATTAAATTTTTAAGTAGCATATCTTCCTGAACATAGAGGTTAAAAATCATTAACAAAGAACCAACAAAAAATTTGGCAAATCAAATCTGACGATGTATATAAACAAAACTGCAACATGACCAAGTTTAGTTTCTGAGGAAAGTTAACTTAATATTGGAAAGTTAATTAATGTAATTCATAACATTAACATATTAAAGCAAAAAATCATTTCAATAGATGTAGAAAAAGTATTCAGTAAGATTCAGTATCCAGAGGGGGTGGGTATAGCTCAGTGGCAGAGGGCCTGCTTAGCATGCACAAAGTCCTGGGTTCAATCTTTAGTACCTCTATTTGAAAAATCAATACCTATTCTTAAAAAATATATCCTACTATCCTTATTAGCATACTAGGGAAAAATTAAACATTCTTAACTTGATAAAGCCCATCTACAAAATATAGTAAAGTTCATATTTAGCTGGGAAATGTTTAAAACATTTCCTTTAACGTCAAGAATAAAGAAGCCACTATCACGCAGTAGCCCCTGCAATAAGACAAGAAAACTAACATGTGTAGATTGGAGATAAATAAAATTGTCATTATTTGCAGGTGTTACTATGTTATACACAAAAAACTCCGAATATCTCAGTGGAAAAACTGGGGGTAAATGCCTAGTGGGAAAATTATGCATAAAACAAAAGAAATATGATCACATTTGGGGTAGAAATTACCTTTGGTGGAAGGAGGGAAGTACTTGGTCAGGGATGTGATTGTGAGGGCTTTGAAGCTAATAAAAATGTTTTAATTTTTATTCTGAAGACAAAAGTATTCATTTCATTATTCTAAAAATGCAGATTTATTTTAGACAAACAGACACGCATACATGCAAATGGGCGTATATGGACTTTTTTCACAGTAAAATCGCATGTAAAGTGCTTTGCCTAGTGTTCCAGGAGTGGAAGGAACTATCGTAATAATACCTTATCCCCTCCACATGTTCAAGCCCCTGTCAGACATGACTGATCTGTCACCTCCTCACTCCCACTGGTCCCTGGTGTGGGGACTGGGCCGTGAGCGGGTGCGGCCTGTTGTCTCCAGCAGATACTCGGGGCCATGGAGTCTCAGGTGGCGGGGGGCCCGGCCGGCCCGGCCCTGCCCAACGGGCCACTCCTTGGTACAAATGGAGCCACTGATGACAGCAAGACCAACCTCATCGTCAACTATCTGCCCCAGAATATGACCCAGGACGAGTTCAAGAGTCTCTTTGGCAGCATTGGCGACATCGAGTCCTGCAAGTTGGTTCGGGACAAGATCACAGGTGTGGTTGCTTGCAGGTGGGGGTAGGGGTAGGGGACAGAGGTGGTAGCCTCAGGAGTACGGGTGTGGTGTGGAGACAGGTGTGACCCAGGTGGGAGGTGATGGGAGCAGGTGGGACCCTGGGAGATCTGAGGTGTCCTGGGGACAGGGTAGTACTCTGAGGGAACAGATAAGGGTGGAGTCTTGGTTCTCATAACCATGAGGGGGGTGGTCAGCCTCTCAGGCCTGGGTGTGGGAGGACACTGGCAAGTACAGGGAGGTCATCGTCCTGGTCCTGCCTACAGGGCAGAGCCTTGGCTACGGGTTTGTGAACTACTCTGACCCCAACGATGCAGACAAAGCCATCAACACCCTCAACGGCCTCAAACTGCAGACGAAGACCATCAAGGTCAGCGCCCTCATTCCCCGCTGCCGCCCATCCCGTTGACCACCCATCCCAGCTGAGCCCATTTCCCCTTTATTATCACCCACCTGGACTGCCCCCTTCACTGCCACCCAGACACCCATTCCCCCAACTGCCACCCATCCTCCATGGCTCATCCCCTAAGGGGTTCAAATCACTCCCCAAAGGCTTTCTGGCTGGGGCCCCAGTTGTGAGGCCAATGGCTCTGCCTCTCTGAACCCCAGTTTCTTCACTTGTCAGTGGGGAGACAATCAGCCCCACAGTCTCTGGCAACTCAAGGAGTCAGCCAGGCAGTAGGAGAGAGTGACCAGGGTCCGGTGGGCAGCCCCTGCCCTGCCTTTGTCATGGAAATGGGGGAGGGGTGGGGGCCCATCTGCCATCTGGAGCCTAACTAGGGTCTGGGAGGGCAGGATTAGGGGTGGGCCCCTCCCCCACCTTTGTGCAAAGCCCCTCCCCCCACGACCTCCCCTCTCAGCAGCTGCAGCTGGGACCCTACAAGCCCAGGTTCCCTGGGGGGGAATCACCATGGAAACCCCCTCTCTAGGCTCTCCTGGGGGTGTCTGGGCTCCACCCCGCAAATCTGCTCCTGAACCCTAGGGGAGGCTGGGCTGGGGCGGGGCACCCATCTGGCCCCCAGTTCTCCATAACAGGTGCAGGGTCTTCCTCTCCCTGATGAGGGGGCCAATGAGGCTGTGACCTGATGGGTCCCTTCATGGCCAACTAGACCCAGGAGCCCTCGGGCTGTGAGTGTGGACCTAGTGATGAACCGTATGGCCCAGAAGGCCACTGTATGATGTGGCGAGTGTATGTGGAGGGGGGACCCCATAGCTATGTGAGTGGCTTTCGGTCATGTGGGTCTGGCTGTTATTGGCTCTGGATGTGTCGCCATGTGTCTGTGATATGGTGTTTATGTGACAGGTGCTTTGTGACACACTGCAACTCCAGCTGTGACCTGGTGTGGCTGTATGGGTGTGTCTGGCTGTGCCCCTTCGGGGTGAAATGTGAGTGACACTGAGGGCTTGTGCGGTGATGTGACAGCTGTGTGGTTCTACAACTCTTCCTGGAATTCTCCAAGACTCCCAGGGTCACCATCAATGTGGCAGTGGCCCTGTGTCACTCCTGCTGGCATAGTCACTGTGGCTGTGCAGCGGGTAGCAGTGTGGCCCTCTGTGTGTGTGTGTCTGCCCAGGTGGCCGTGTTGTGTGGTTGGCCCTGATTGGGTGTTTCAGCAGATTCTGCCCAAAATATTTCCAGCCACCCGTTGTGTGCCATCCTGATGAGGGGGGTGTGGGAGGAGCCGATACCCAGACGAGGGACCTGGGTCAGCCCACACCATGGAAGGATGGGAAAGACCCCTGAAGACCTACTCTGTGCCTCAGGTGACCCCTGACCCCAAACACCCATCCTGGAGCTCAGCCTCCCTTCCCCTCCCCCCAGCCCCAATCCATCGACAAGTCCTCAATCCTAAAAACTCACAGCCCTATGGGGCAGGCGAGAGTGGAAACCGTCAAATCCATGACTGAGTTTTACTGTTCTAGAAATAATAACAGCTGTGGTGTTTTGTCTTTTTATTCCGGAGGACCCCAGGTGCGCACGACTGCATCAATTAGAATCCCCCCTCCCCCCACCCAGTGAGCACTCTCACCCCCATCTGCCTTTGGCCCAATTTATTCATTTTGTTAGTTTTTTAATTCGTTATTTCTAATGAAGTAATATGCTCTCACAACCCCAGACCCTCACGACCGGACTGTCCCAAACAAAAGCCAGACCCTTGACTATGACCCCTATCTACCCAGAGGTAAACTTAGAAGTAAGAGAAAATAGACATCCCCAGAAAGAAGGGGGAAAGAGCCTATCCCCGCACTGACCTGCCAGCTGTCGGTCACCCTCTTGGCATCTGGGTCCCCCAAACCATGTTTCCAGGACATCACTAAACACACAATGAGATGGGGTCACACTATACTTGCTGCTCTGTAAATGGACTTCTCTTCCCCCCACTTCACAATACTCGCCACTGTTTCGAGGGAATAAATATACACGTCCACCATTTTTTAAACAGCTGCAGAGTTTCATTGTTGGGCTGGACCACAGTTAATGACATGAATCGAAAGATCGTAATAATACGTGTCTAATTCACAACTAAGAGAGGTGCTTTGAGAGGGGAACTGGGGGTAAGGGTGGAGGACCAAATTCAGACAGGAGAGGACAGGGAGGGTATTTCAACTAAGACCTGGAGAAGAAAGGCAAGGAAGAGCGTTTCAAGAACAGGGAACAGCAAGTGCCAAGGCCCTGAGGCTGGAGTACACCTAGTATGTTTACGGAACATGGATGAGGCCCATGGCTGGACAAGAGGTACTGAGAGGGCCACTGGGCAGAGATGAGGGCAGCGAGGTGATGGAGCAGGTTGTGCAGGGCCTTGTGGGCCATGGGAAGCACTTTAACTCTGAGGAAGGTGGGATCCACAGAGGTTCTAAGCAGAGTGGGGATGTGACCTGGCTCAGATGAGCACAGGCGCCCTCTGACTGCTGTTGTAGGAGAGGACCACAGCCTGTTGGGGGCAAGGGTGGCCAAGTAGACCAGGGCAGAGACTGCTGCACTCACTGGTCTGGGTGAGCAATCGTAGGGCAGTGGATGGGGAGAGATGTGTATGGATCCTGGATGATGAGGAACGTGGAGTCCATAAGATGGATGGTGGTTGGATGTGGGAGTGACTGAGATATCAAGGACAACCCAAGGCTGGGAACCTGAGCACCCAGGAGGACCCAATTGCCATTACTGAGTTAGAGCAAGTTGGGGTGCTGAGTGTGACCCCCCCATGAAGGCTCCTTGTGGGACACTTGGAGGCAAGGGTCACACAAATGTGCAACTCAGGGGCCAGGCCCATGCTGAGGACAGATAGTTGGGGGTCTCAGGGTTGAGCTGGGGGATGAAGGATCTGAGTGACCCTGAGGGGCCCAGTGTAGTCGGGAAGAGAAGGGGCCAGCATCCCAGGTTCACTTTCCAAAGGGGTGAGACCTGTTAACGTTGATGGAGAACATGAGTTAGAGGTGTGAGGGGTCGTGGGGTCCCCAGGGAGACATGTGGCCCCAGGGGCACAGCTCCTTTGACCTCCTCGGGCGGTGGGTCCCTCTGACCACTCTTCAGGGCCAGCCAGGTTGTCTTCATCACAGCCATGCCCCCCCCACCAAGCCCTGGTCGACCCCACCTACCTCCCAAGGTGACTACTCACAGTATTTGCTGAGTAAACGGATGAGGGATTTCGGTTGCTCAGTGGTGGTTTGGATGTGGCCTCCCTCTCCCCATCTGGGAAATGGATCTTGCCCTCACCCCTGTTCGCCTGACCCCCTCCCCCAGGTATCCTATGCCAGACCCAGCTCTGCCTCCATCCGGGATGCGAACCTGTACGTAAGCGGGCTCCCCAAGACCATGAGCCAGAAAGAGATGGAGCAGCTCTTCTCCCAATACGGTCGCATCATCACTTCTCGCATCCTGGTGGACCAGGTCACAGGTCAGGCTGCCCAGGAGGGCGCACCTGGCTGGGGAGCTGGGCAGAGGCATAGAGATGGACCAGAGTGGAGAAACAGGGAAAAGCGGCGGGGAGGGGGAGGGATCACGCAGGAAGGGGCGGGATCTCCATGACGCCCTTGCGCCCGGCAGGTGTCTCTCGGGGTGTGGGATTCATCCGCTTTGACAAGAGGATCGAGGCCGAGGAGGCCATCAAAGGACTGAACGGGCAGAAACCGCTGGGCGCGGCCGAGCCCATCACAGTCAAGTTTGCCAACAACCCGAGTCAGAAGACCGGGCAGGCCCTGCTCACTCACCTCTACCAGTCCTCCGCCCGGCGCTATGCAGGCCCCCTGCACCATCAGACACAGCGCTTCCGGTGAGCCCCCTGCCACTCCCTTCCCCCCAGGCTTACAGCTGCCCTCTCCCAACCCCATTTCTGCAGGGTGGAAAAACACCAGGACACTCAGGGGCTGCTGAGGGCAGCAAAGAGGAAATGTGGGGGCCTGTCAGGGCCTGAGGTCTGGCCCTTGTATACAGCAGGTGCTCAATGTGTGCAGGCCATACCGAGTGGCATTACTGGCGCCAAGAGTTTTAGAATCACTTGATCGGATCGGCTCTGACTGGCCCCACCTCCGCCTCGGGCACCTGCAGGCCAGGCACCCTTCCTTATTCTGCACAGCAACCGGGTCAGAGGCATTGTCAGTTGCCTGGCCCAGACACTGCGGAGGGGAGGCTCCAAACTTTCCTTCTGGGGACCCAAACCCTGCCCGGGGGGAGAAGGGCAGGCGATCCAGGCTGGGTGGCCAGGAGGGGGAAGACGAGGACTCCAGTGCAGGCCGGGCAACAGCCGTGCAGGCC